TAACAAATTGCTTGTCAGAGTATGGGAATTCAGTTAGTATTGGATAGATGAATAAAGGAAAATATTTTTTGGTTTCATTAGGAATTTAGGGAGCTCCTGCAATATCGAGATAACTCGGACAAAACCTTTGAAGCAAATGAAATGTTGCTTGAGAAACTGCGGCAGCGAATACAAGATAGAGATGCTGCACTAGAGGTATGTCCCATAATTTTTCTCATGATGCTATGGATTATTCTGTTCACATAGGTCCTATAGAAATCTGTATCTACTGGGTTTGCTGCTTTTCACAGTTGGATCTCCATTCCTTTATATTGGGATTCCTATTGAAAAAGGGTAATCAGGATGGTGGCTCTTACAGAGCTTTAGGATCCTTGCTTTCCTTGCAGCGGGCTATAGATGAAAAGTTCTCCACTCTGGAAGAAAAAGAAAAAGAGCTGCGGCAACTGCGTCTTGCCGTGAGAGAGCGAGATCTTGACTTAGAGAGGCTGCGCGGTATCCTCTCCTCTAATGAAGCTACCATGCAGGTAAGAGCAAAATCTGTCCTGACTTGGCATCCCTCTCCTACTTGCATTCCTGAAGCATCAGCCCTTCTATCATTTTCTGCAAACCAGTGTATTAATTTATCAGAAAAAATATATAAAAACAAACAAAAATAATAGTCATTCGTTTCATCATCAGGGATTAGGAAGTGAGACGTTTTAGCACTTTCATAAACTTTGTAGGGGGAGGCAGTGAATATGGATTTCTATACATGGTTCTAATTAATTTCTAATCCTTGTCAATATCTGTACACTTTTACATAAGCATTGCCAGGGTGCAGCTACTACATTGTGGTTTTCCCATTAATGTTATATACGTGTCTGTGTATGGCCACAATCAGATCATTTGTTTATTTTAATAATATTTACTGTGGAGCATTTTTGATATTTATTTTAGAGCTTATATATCTTACCATCTGCCACTTCTTAAAGAAGTTCTTCACTTCTTGTATAGTATAGCCTACTTCCTCCAAAATACATCATTTATCATGTATGTTATGTTTATGTCTCTACAAGCTAGATGAGAGTTTCTAAAAACAAAAAATAAATTAGTATGGCATTTTTAGATTAGGTACTAAGTTTCCTCCTTTTGTAAAATAGTTGATAACATGAAGATAATTTAAAGGTAGATCGGGTTTCGTGTGTAACCTGAGGTATGTGGAGTGGTCCTTGGACTTACGGTTGCTTTCTTTGTGACCGTAGAGCATGGAGAGCCTCCTGAGGGCCAAAGGCCTGGAAGTGGAGCAGTTATCTGCTACCTGTCAAAACCTCCAATGGCTGAAAGAAGAAATGGAAACCAAATTTAGCCATTGGCAGAAAGAACAAGAAAGTATCATTCAGCAGTTACAGACATCTCTGCATGACAGGAACAAAGAAGTGGAGGCAAGACTTTGTTAACTTACTGGTAGTCAGTTTATCAGTTACATAACCTCAGTCTTAGATTAGGACTCTTGAGGTCTGGGAGGCCAGTGACCCAAGTCTTTAATTCCGTTCTGTGCCTGGGCGAGTCATTGGCTTTCACTGGGACTGTTGTCCCTACTCCTATAAACTCACGGAGTTTGTTATTTCAAAACAGTATGTCAGTTGCCATAAGTATTTTTCTGTATTGTCAGTGTTCATTCACTGAGCAGGTATTTATAGGCTTCTATGTGCCAGGCCTGTGCTAGGTCTGGGGAAACAAAAACAAATGAAACACTGATACTTGTTCTTCAGAATCTCACAGTTCTTTCTTATATGATAGATTCTTATAAGTACCGCGCGCTAACCGATTGCGCCA